GTAGACGTTTATCTGTTGATGACCTTTTGACCTCCTGAATTCTGCAATGAGATTTTCGGGTCGATTCAGCCGAGACGGCCCGAGTGGAGTTTCATGTAAATGTTTCGTACGGAAAAAAAATCGCGCCCAGGCCCTAATCCGAAAAAAAGAAACCGAGTATGGGACAACAATTAAATTAGGTATGGCGCGCACTAAGTGCAATAAAGAGTGAGTAACCCAAAATTAGGGCCTGGAACCCAGGCTACCTCAAGTCATTTAATATTGATTTTGACTGATGCCTGACCATGCCCACGAAAGCTCTAGTCAGGGATATTACCCCCTCCAAACATACCTTATAGTCGGGGTTATCACCAGCTCTCCCCATTAAGATCATTATCTCATCAATATCACCATAGCTGCCACATCATCACTTTCACACCCAATCATTTAGTGTCATGAGGACAAAATCTTTGACGTTGTTACTTTATTAATCATACTCAACTATATACATACTTTTATGCAATAATATAGACATAGTAATAAAGTAGCTACTACAGGAGTTACACAATTATTAACATAAATACAATACAATGAAACATATTGAAACAATTATAAATTAAGGTGAGTTCTGTTGAAGAATGAATTACCAATCAGTCCACATTTGATCACTTCATGAATTATATACAGTAGTTTAAAGCTAAACACTGCCAAAAACATACCTTAAAAACTTCAATACCAATTTAATAAGTGTAAACAGAAAAAAAACCCAGTTTTTGCTGATTTACAGATGTTTTTCCCTACAAACATGTGAATGTGGAGTTACTCTGCAAATATCGCATGACATGTGGGCCTGTCATATATGACAATATTCTTTCATTGATAACAAATTTAAGTAATAATACTATAGAAAATAATATAACAATAATTACATATATAAATATCAATAATTTTACTTTACAATTCATGAAACAACAACTAAGTAATACTTAAATAGTTGCAGCATAATGCTTGATATTTGATAATATTAATGTATTTTATAACAAGACATATTTCAGTAGACAACTAACTGCACATTACAGAACCCGTACTTTACACTGGAAAATATTAAAGTACTATGCCTAGACCTGCAGGTTATTACTATGACTGTAGCACGCCATGGACTACTTTTCTTTAGTTTCAACTACAACAAATTTAATACATCTATACTAAACTTATGCATAGCAAAGACATTTGTGAGACATCTAAACTGGCTGACCCACATTTATTAAATCAGAGAGTAGTGGTTGAAATTCTAGGTTTTTTTTAAAACGCAAATGGTCAAAGCAATTGTGGACAATTCGTCGCTCACATCACGAACAATTAAATTCAATTGTGTTAATTCATGAAATAAAAAAAGCGCGTCAAAATACGCGCTGTTGTCGTTAAGGACTTTTTGTGTGGTAAAGAATACAAAATTGCTTGACAACCAATACGCACTGGTTTTGACGCGCTACTGTGATTTCACGAACTAACACAATCTACTTTGATTGTGTTAGTTCGTGATGTGAGCGACGAATTACTATTCAACGTGTGGAAGTGGTTTGGCGCAGTGGGAATGGTTTGGTTGACAAACCCCAAAATCGGCGTTTCAATTCTTCGCTGTACATTTCGCTTACTGTATGTCCTTGAGCAAGGCACTTTATCTACATTGCTTCAGTCTAGCCAGCTGTATGAAAGGGTACCAGCAAATTGCTGGGAGTAACCTGCGGTAGACCAGCGTCCCGCCCAGGGGGGTACTATACACTCTCATCCGCTTCACGCTACAGAAACTGGGGATAAGCTCGAGCCCTATGAGTCCTAGTGGCTCGGCAAGGATTTACTTACTTTACTCTTCAACAATGAGCAAAATTCTTTAGGCCTCAACTTTAAAAAACAACTAATACATCAAGGTATTCAGGAACAGAGTAGAGGAATAATCCAATCATATCCCATGTTCTCATCTGGAACAAAGCAGTTTTACAGTCAAAGTGCCATCTCCAGGCATCACGTGCCTATTCTTAAAACTTGCTCACTCAGCAACTCTTTTTCTGATGTTACCACAGACTGTATCTATCACCTCCGAAACCTGGTGCAAAATCAAGTGAAATTAAGGAGTATTGTACGTGAGTAAACCTAGTGTATTCCATAAAGATACAGTATGTTTCCAGGAATTTTCAATTGATTTATAAATGATTCAGGGTGATCAATAGAATTTGTTTTCAATAGAAATGTTATGCTCAAGTTGGGTATCTAGCGGATTCCCCCTCTAAAAAAACCTTGCGCTCTCCCCCATGCAAATGTTCGAAGCAAAAAATGTCAGACTCGAGTAGATAAAAAACACTTTGTATAACCTAAAAATTGCGAGCTATCTCCCCCAACACTTAATCATCGAGCAGCTAACCTCACCTTTGTACCCCTATTAGCCCCCTCACCACCATTTCAAGACAAAATATGTCACTAGAAGTTGGTAAGTTTTGTTTGTAAATTCCTCAGCAGGCTATACATTTTAAAATGTGATGATACCAAGTTAGTTCTCCTGTCCTGCCTTCATGCATGTGAATGGCAGAACCCATTTTTTACTTTGACCATGGACACGCAAGTTTAACCACTCCTGCCTGTTTGGAACAAACAACATAGAGTCTTCAACTGCTTCTGCCCCTAGAGGGACCGAGTCAGAACTACTTCCCAAACTTTTCTTGCAAGCTTCACTCTTTGCTGTACTCTCACTGTACTCAGAATCTAAAAGAAAAACAAAAATCCATGCACAATTTTATTATTTCATGGATTTTGTAATTACAATGTGTAAAATAATTTGTGAGGTGCAGATAGTTATACTGAATAATATATAAAAAACACACCTAATCAATGTTAAACATTATTTATTCTAAATAAAACTCCGGTACTTTAAAAACTAGTTTTATTGTCAATAAAACTAGTTTTAAAGCGCAGTACTATATCCAGTGTTTTAATTACTATTATATCAGAGTGCAGCTCATCTATTAATTATTATTTTAATTTATTAAAAAGCATAAAGCAGATATTTTTGGTCTCTGTAATAAAGTGTTATAATTCACATCATCATTCACCAAATGCAGTGACTTTAGAAGAAAGGTTGTAAGATTATCTTCTTTAATAATTATGTACATACTGTTGATATGACTATTAACAAATCAAATTAACTCACTGATTTCATCTACTGAACCTGTTAAGGTATTACTAAGTCCATCATTCCTGCCGGGTTGTTGCTTAAGTAGTTGTATTGCACTTTCAAACTGAAGGAATGCATTAAGGGACAAGATCTTCTGCATTGCTTGCTGACACAAAATATCTGACTTAGATCGGAACCAGTGTTGCACGTAGTAGAGATCAACCTCTAACTGGCAGGCTCCATGAATGCTAAAGTATACAGAAAATCAGTTATTGCACCTTACAACAAAACTGTCAATAGTTATAATTAGAAAGGGTAGTGGATTAGTGGCATATCTACAGTAGGGGAAGATGCAGGGCCCTAACAAATTCACATTCTTCCCCCAAGTCACTTTTCCTGTTAAAAATGTTTGAAACAAAAAAGAAAAATCATGAATAGATAAAATTCACCTCATATCACCTTAGAGTGGAGATGGATAGCATGGTGGTTAAGATGCTTCCTTTCCAATCCCAGGGTCCTGGGTTCAATTCCTGTCATGGTAACAAGATTTTTACTCACAACCAAAACGACTCCAGTCTCATAGCCTCACAATGGGACTTAGTCTATGTATGTGCCTCTTGTATGTATGTTTGTTTTGTGACACTGTTTGGTATATCCTTGGCCCTAATGCTCAAAGCTGAATAAAGAAAAAATATTTGGCAAGCTAGCACCCCCTCACTTAATCAAGTGTTCAAATTCACCTTCACACCATTATCAGCCCCCCCCCCCAGATGCATCACTGGATAAATGCAGTGGATAAATCCGAGATACAAGAAGTTGGGCAGCAAAGGTGCAATGATTTCATTTGGGAATTATATGAAATTCAAAATTTTGGACAGTAAAGGAATAGATGAAAAAGGGAGGACTTGATCCCTTCTCTAAAGGTATATAAACAGCACTAAGTAATTCGACCTTCATAAAAAGCCCTAGACTCTATTAACTGGCTTCCAAATTTTAGTACCACGAACCATATATACCATTCAGGGAGTTTTTCAAGAATCCTTTATCGTCCAATAAAGACAATTTCTGGTGGGAACATTTTTTAATTTCGCCAATTACTTGAAAAACATATGAACATTCACTTGGAACATAGATGTCAAATATCAGCACAAAATTGATAGCTTTATACTAAACAAATCAGTGACAATAACATATTGGATTAGATTGGATACATTCAAATCTATGCCATTACATGATTAGTGTACCTTATTTAAAATAAGTCACTTAAAATGCTAAGAACAAGTATATGACATGTATCAATCTACCCCTAGAATTTCTGATCACTTAAAAAACTGATATGAGTGGGTGAATTAGGGAGTGATGGGGACTGTTCCTAAAGCAGTGGGTCCAACGAAAGAAAAATTGATTATGTTGTTTTGTATAACCACTCCTCCCCACACCCCACCCCTCCCCCACAGTTGTACATAAACATTACAAAATCTTACTATAAACTGTTTCCAAGTTTTATCACCCCTTCAGATTTGTTGAAAAATTAGTTTTCCCTCCCCTTAAATACTAATTCCACCTGAAATAACTACCATTAAATTTATTTTGCATTTTAGCAGGACTTTCTTATTACCACATTTCACATAACTTATTTAAAAAAAAATGTAAACAGTGTAGTAACTAGATTTGAACTCGTCACTGTGGACGAGTTTGGTGATCTGCCGTACTTTGACCCTCATAAAGCGCGTGCGGTGCTGATTGAAAAGTTTCATAATATGCTAAAATATGCTGTAATTAGTTTTTTTAAAAAGAATAATTTTGAGCATTTAAAAGACTTACGCATGCGTACACGTACGTCTTGACGCCCGTGAGCACGGTAGTGGCATAAAGAGTGACTCCTGATATGAATACAGTGTCAGGAACACAAAATATGTAACACAACGTGATTTCCAGCTTCAGTACGTGCTGTGTGCGTAAAAATGAACATATGGCGCGTAAATATGGAAAGTTTTCGAATGCTGAAAATGACCCGAAACGTTCTTTAAACTATCTGAATAGTGATATTGAGAATTTTCAAATTTTAACACACGCACACGTCA